GCGTGTCATTAGAATCATTTTTGACACGACGTCAATTAACAACTTGTAAACTATTTAAAAAAAAAAAAAACATAAATTTACTCATAATAAAATTCTCCAGTATAAATTAACGATGAGGTTTATATACGTACGTAGAAAGAAGGATGTTGACAAAATGTTTCATAATTTTTACGTTAGAGCGCAGCACATGTATCAAAACAAAACGTGTAAGTAGAATAAATTGGATTAATATATTTTGTTTTTATTTCAATCGTTTCGTTGGTCAGTTATTACTATTTTTTTTAAAAATTATTTATTATTATTGAATTGTGTTAAAAATTACGACGACGAGGGTGACGACGACGACGACGACGAGGGAAAATGAAGGAGAAGGAAAAAAAACAAAAGAAATTTTTAAATCGATAAATCAAAATTTAAAATATTATAAAGGGAAGGGAAAAAAAGGAAAATTTTTTTTTTTGATTTTGTGAAAACGAGTTTCGATTTAGATAAAATACGATTTTTGAAAGTTTTGAATCCTTGGAAATTTAATCCCGATTCTTTGAGTTAGAAAACGGAAATTGTGTCCAGCTACTGCACTCTCTCTCTCTCACTCTCTCCTTTTTCCCTTTTTCTCATTTCAAATGGTTTTCATTTTATATTGTCTCCCTTTCCCCCTTTTCCTCTCACACTATTTTTCCGTTTCCGGTCAAGTTCATCTTATTTCGGGGTTGGTAGAAAAGAGAGAGAGTGAGAGAGAGAGTGTATTAGATTTTTTATTACCATTTTCAAATTGGAAGAGTCTAGTCGAAGAAAAGGAAATGATTTGAAACGTTTAAATGCATCTTTTTAAACAAACAAACAATTTATCCAGGTTTGTAAAATAATAATAATAATAATATTAATGTCGTGATAGAAATGAATATCGATTTTATATCGTCATCACATTATATTAAGATATAACGTGGCAGAAGAAAGAGAGAGAGAGTGATGGAAAGAAAAATAGAATAATTTAACAAAAAAAAAAATTTTTTTTTTTTTTTTTTTTTTTTAAGTTCATTAATTTAACGTTATTATGAATGAGATTGATAACACGTTGTTTGTTCTTGTTGCTGGTTGTTGCTGGTTGTTGGTTGTTTGTATAAATTTTAAAAAAAATTAACATGCAAATTTTTTTTTTTTTGTCTTTATTTAATCTGGCATTTATTAGTAAACGAGTTACCATGTCGATTAATAACGCGTATTTTTGACAATCCCTCCCCGTTCTTCTTCTCCCCTCCCTCCCCTCATCTCACTCATCACCCCCTCTTTCTCCTTACGACCCACCATTTTTCCAGTCGTTAATTTCCTGGAGAATTATTATTCTTTCGATTTTGTTTTTTTTTTTTTTTTTCTATCCATTTTCGACGTTGAATTTTTTCTATCGTTCGACAAAACCCGGTTACAATTTCATTACGACATTAATGATGATAATAATAATAATAATAATGATGATGATGATAATAATAATTAGGACCGTAATTATTTTATTAAGTAAAAAAAAATTGTAATTGACGTGACGGCGAAGTGGAAAAGAATAAAAATTGTAAAAAAAAAAAAAAAAGAAAAAAATGAAACTTTATATGATTTTTGAAATTATTAACCAACCAATGACGTACAACCATTTTAAAATATTATTGACGTAATCATAATAATAATGATGATGATGATGATGATAATTTTTATTTGTACGACGAATGAATTTTTTGAATTTTTGTTTTTTTTTTTTTCATTTCATTTTCGTTTTGTTTTTCCCCTTCAGGAAAGAGAAAGGAAAAAGGAGAATGGAGAGGAGGGTAAGGGAAAAGAAGTGGGGGGAGGGGAAATGATAATAATAATAATAATAATTTCAAAACACTAATTATGAAAGAAGAAAATAAAAGGAAATCTTTTTATATAAAATCCAACAGAGACAAATGAGTTTGTAAAAAATGTTGTTATGGAAAATAAGATTCGTTAAAAAAAAAAAAAAAAAAGAAAAATTTTCTTATGAAAATCACTCGAGGGTTGAATAAAAGACAAAGGAAAGAAAAATTTTTTTCCTTTTTTTTTTTTTTTATTCCTTCCCTTTCCTTTGTTAACGTGGGCGGTGGGGGAGTCGAGGGAGGAGGAGAAATAAAAAGGGGAGGTTTCGCATAGAAAAAGTTTTGTTTGTAAATTAATTTTAGACAAAGTCGGAAAAATCTTTTCTTTTTTTTTTGGAAAATAAAAAAAAAATAATAATAATAATAATAATAATAACAAAGGGGGGACCTGGTGAAATTCATAAAAATCATTAATATTATTATTTTATATTTCAATCAAACGAATTTTTTCTCTGTTAAATTTTATTATTGAAATTATTTTTCCTCGAACCTTCTCGTCTCTTCTACCGGATTTCGTACCTATCTACCTATTTACCCCCACCCTCTTCTGTTGCCCCCCCTCCCACCTCACCATTTAATTTGATTTATTACCTATAATTTGTATTTTTTTCGGTTAAAAAAAAAACAAGATTATTACTTTATTTTTATAGGTCACGAATTTAAAAATCGGCAGTGGAAAAATATTTTTCTTTTTTGAAAACGTGCCTCGAGGATTAAACGTTTCGAAATAATCTTTTCTTCCCCCCTCCTCACTCCCATCGTCTATATTTTGTGGGGGTTCCCCTCAGTGATGATGATGATGATAAAATTAAATAAATTAAAATCTGCCGCATTTGGCTTAGCGATCAATATTCAATTAATTAAAAAAAAAAAAGAAATATTTGATGTTAAGGTTCACGGGGGGCAACTGTCTATTGACACTTTTTTTTTCGATAGAGAGAGAGTTAATAGAAGAAAAAAAGAAGAAGAAGAAAAATATGATTCGAGGACGCGATATATAGCACATAAGTCAATTACGATTGTTTGTCGTTGTTTTGATTGATTGATTAAAAAAAAATTTTTAAACTACGACGATCGAATGATAATTTATGGCAAAATTTTTTAAATAAAATAACGTGGCATTAGAATAATAAAAAATTAAATTTTTTTAAAAGGTTGAATTTCCCGCTCGGGTAGATAGTGTAAAAATTTTATCGTTTTTTTTTATTTTGTAGAAAAAAATTTTGTGATTATTATTTTTTTTTCGCAGGTTTTTTGTTTTTGCCGGCGGGTGGGATTTTTAAATCCCGGAAACGGAAGTACGAAACTCATCGTCATCAATCGATGATATTCATAACAAGGGATGAGGTGACGTATACGATTGGTAAAATTATCAAAAAAACTCTTTTTTGGAATTTAAAAAAAAAATGATGATTGATGGTAAATAAAAAAAAAAAAAAACGTGGCAATTATCGGCTGGAAAATATTTAAAAAAAAAAAAAAAAACTGGAATCGACTGGAGAGAGAGAGAGAGAAAAAAAACCTGTTGTTATAAACTCGATTAAAAAAGAAACCAAATATTGTATAAAAGAAAACCTTGAAAATAAGAAACCTGAGAAGAAATCTAATTAGAAAAAGGTAATTAGAGTAAAAATGGCTGGAACGGAATTTAAAAAATTGTATACGAGTTAACAAGATGAATTTTTTTTTTTTTTCCTCGTTCCAGAATCTGGAGAAAACATATTTTTTTTTTTTTTAATCTCTCGTTCGTGATTGGTTAGTTATTATAATTATTATTATTATTATTCGTTTCTTCGTCCGGTTGTTGTTGGTTGTTGTTGTAGTTGGTTTTTTCTTCATCTCACCGTGAAATAATAAAATAAAAAAAAAAATTTTTTTTTGAATGAATTTTTTTAATAAAAAAAAAACACGCAAATGTAATTTTCTAGTACCACGATTATCATTACGACAATTTTTATATAATAATTATTATTTTCTTTTTACACTACTTTTTTTTTTTTTTTATTCACGGTTTTTTTATTTTTTACCACACATATAATTTCGTGCCACGTTCGTAATTTTTTAAAAAAAAATTTATCGATTCGAGATTTCCCCTCTCTCTCTCTCTCTCTTTCTAACCTTTCCGCCATTTTGTTTTTTTTTTTTTTTTGAAAAAGGAGGGAAATCAATTAAATTTAAACGTATCTTCATTAAATATTAAAGACGGCACATTAAAAAAAAATTTTTTTTTTTTCAATTTATTTTTTCATTTTTATTTATTAATAAACCGGAAATAAATAAAAATTTTATTTATTTATTAATTAATAATTAATTAAATACGAAAATAAATAAATAAAATAATTGTTAATAAATTAAAATTTATGTACGTTGATATACAATAGTATGACGAAAATGTGGCGAACTGTCAAAAAAAAAAAAAACTTTAATATTTAAATAATAATAAAAAAAATTTAAATTTATCGATTCACTAACCGATCGCTCGATTGATTGATTGATTGATTGATTGATGAACACGTTTTTTTTTTTTACATATATTCTCTCTCTCTTTTTTTTTTTAAATTCCGTGGAAAACGTAATAAAATTCGTTACGTAAATATTCGATTACATAAGTTTTATTATTGCCCTTAAGAAAAACACGTGAATCGAGAGAGAGAGAGAGAGAGAGAGAGAGAGAGATAGTGAGAGAAAAAGAGAGAGACAGTTAGGGAGAAAGAGAGAGAGACAGAGAGAAAATCAAACAAACAAAAAAAAAATTGTCAAATTCAATTATTAATAATTATTAATAAATAAATTCAAGAATAAAAAAAAAAAAAATTTTAAAACATTTAAAAAAATTATTTACGATCATTATTATTATTATTATTTATGCAATCGATTATTATTATTATCATTATCATTATTATCACTATCACGAATCATTTGCGTAACTTTTTTTTTTTCAATAATGATAATAATAATAATGATAGGAGGGACGACGGTGATTTAATTCGATTTTTTAAATTTTATTAATTTTATGACGTCATTAATTTTTTTTCGTAGAAGGCACCATTTCCGGTTTTTCATGGCAAATCCTAGAACCTGAAGAGGAGAACTTCCGTCGTTTGTGACTTTGGAAAAATGATTGCTGGAACGAAATCCGGTTGGATTATTTCGTAAAAAAGAAAAAGAAAAAAAAATTCCCAGCGTGTATTTCGACTGCGTTTTGAACTCGTTGCTGAAGAAGATGCTGGAGAAAATGCTGGAGAAAATACTGGAGAAAATACTATAGAAAATGCTGGAGAAAACGCTGGAGAAAATACTGGAAAAAACGCTGGAGAATATACTGGAGAAAACGCTGGAGAATATACCGGAGAAAACGCTGGAGAAAATACTAGAGAAAATTTTTTAAAAATTATTCCGTCGTCAAATAATAATAAGTTTTGATCTGGAATAAAATCGAAACGGTTCCAGAATTTTTTTGTTTTTTTCATTCGCGAAGTTTATGTTTTTCTTTTTTTTTTCTGGAACGAAATTTATTCCAGGAATTTTTTTTATTTTTACAAACGATCATTCAAAAATTTATTATTTAATATTCAACACGTTCATTCTTCATTTTTTTTTTCCAGTAGTTGAAATGCAATTTTATAACTTTTATAACTATTCTTTCCATTCTTTCTTTCTTTCTTTTCTCCAGTTTTTTTTTCTTATTTACAATAATTCTACTTTTCTTTTTTTTTTTTTTGTGCTATCTATCAAAACCACCTGACAGTTCCACTTTTAAAAAAGATTATTTGCATGGATGCACTGGAAACCCAAAGGATGAGTAAGGAAAAAAGGTAAAAAAAAAAAAAAGAAAAGATGGAGGATGGTTATAAAACGGGAGCTTCTGTTACTTGCTGGAGAAAAAAAAAAAAAACGTTTTCTCGAAATATATTTTTTTTCCTTTCCTTTCCTTTATTTTTTTTCTCCAGTTTTTTTCTTCTTCTTCTTTTGCTTTTTTTATAACTTTTCACTTAGCAAAAAAAAAAAAAAAAAGTTTCCTTTTAGGAATTTATTTTTGACGGTTTTTTTTAATTAAATTTTTTTTTTAGTTTTATATTCTCTGGAAAAAAAAAAAGCCATTTCTAAAGTGACACGTTAACTTCGATAAGGGAAAAATTGCAGCACCATTATCATTATTATTATTATTATTATAACTTTTATCTTAAATAAAAAAAAGTTTATTTTCTTTTCTCTCTCTCTCTCTCTCTATCTCTCTATCTCTCTTTTCTACATTTTCATAAACTAAAATTTATGGATTCGAATGTTTGTAAAAGTAAAATTTTTTTTTTTTCCAGTCGGAAAATGTCCGGAAATTTTTTTATTTTGATTTTCAATAGATGACCGACAGCATCATCATCATTACATCATCATCGTGTGACGTAATAAAAATTTAAATTTTTTATTTATAAATCTAATGCATAATTTTAAATATGATTTTACTGTCGTTTTTTTTTTGCAAATTTTATTCTTTTTTTATATGGTTATTCGTTTTTTTAAAAAAAATATTTTCTGATGTATTTAAATAACAGTTTTATAAAATTATTCATGCTATAAATTTAAAATTATAATAATAATAATAATAATAATAATAATAAGTTACGTACGACCACATTCCAAGATCGGTTACGACAGGAGTTCCATGCGCAGTTCTGTACGATCAACAAATCCACACTGACAAAACTGTGCTAGCCAACAAATCGGATATCATCCTCAGGCATAATGCGGAAAAATGGTGTAAATTAATTGAGGTATCCGTGCCGGCAGAAAAAAATACCACAGCTAAAGAAGCAGACAAAAGGCTGAAATATAGAAATTTGGAAATTGAAATAGCCAGGATGTGGGGAACAAAAATAGAGAGGATTCCGGTCATAGTGGGAGCATTGGGAGCCATGCCACCACATTCAATGAAAGGAAATTTAAAGAAGATTTTAAAGAACCTTAAGGAAGAAACCATCCAGGAAAACGCACTATGTGGTACGGCCACATTCTTAGGAAAATATTATAAATAGCACCACCAAAATTCGAGTATTTGTCCCTAAGGAATCGGGTAGAAAGAAAAAGAAGAATAAGAAAAATTAAATAAGTTACGTTATGTCAACTTATTTAAATTAATTTTTATAGTTTTATTTAATAATTTAGTTATATTACATATGTATTAAAAGTTTTTTTATACAGTCTACTTTTTTTTAATAATATAATTATTTTTTTTTATAATTAGTTTTTTATTTGTACTCCTGATTTTAAGCGAAAATCCACTGTTCCATTTTATTTTTTATTAAACCTCCTTGAATCTTATGTTTTACTGATACATCGGAAAAAAATTTTCGATGTTTTTAGTTAAAAATGACCTTGAGCGCGAAAATCCAACGTTTACGATTTATCCTAAAGTAGGTCGACCTTGAATACAAGGCCATTAGTTTTACATTTCAATTTTGTGAAAATTTTCATGGTCACAATTTTTCAATCAAGGTCGACCTTGAATACAAGGCCACCAGTTTTAAAATTCAATTTTGTGAAAATTTTCATGGTCACGTTTATTCAACCAAGGTCGACCTTGTTTACTGTTTACGCTAAGTAGGACGACCTTGTATATTTTACCTGGCACACATTTTATTTTAAGCGGGAATTTTTTTGAATTATTTTACTTTATACCTCCTTGGATCTTATGTTTTACTGATTATTTTGAAGAAATTTTTCGATATTTTTTAAATAAAATTTTAATTAACACTAAATTAAGGATAAAAGGCATGAGGGAAAATTATGAAAGGGGAAAATAGTAGGAAAAATAAGTATTGAAATAATTGTTTGCAATAAGTTATTAGACAACTGATTTATAATTGTAATATCTATATATAATTAATAAAAATAATTGTTACATTGTAATATTTATAATTGTACAATCATAACAAGATAAAGACAGAACAAAAAAACAAATCTTGACATAGTTGTGAATCTCACTTCTCTTGTTCCTGGTTGTTACTCTAGAGATATCAGCCACTGGAGCCCAGTACTGGAAATAACTTGTTTCCATCGAATATGATAAGGAAGACTAACAAGAATTGTTGTCATGCCATAGGTTATAACAAGAGGAATGCAGAATCACTGATATCCAGGCGTTTATTCCTTAGGGATCGGCAGGTAGAAACCTGAAATAAATATTAAAAAACAATTAAACAAATATTAAGACAAATTTTTGAGATTATGAGTGAAAATAATAATACTAATAATAATAATAATCGTATCGTCATTGTCCAGGTTTTTTTTTTTATTATAAAAAACCAAAGATTTATATTCTACTTTAAAAACGCGAGTTTAAAAAAAAAGAAATTTTTCAACGATGATTACAATTATATCCATTATTATTATGGTCACTCTTAAACACGACAAGGCTCTTATTTGGCGGGGTTTTTAAGGTTTCTACCCGATTCCTTAGGGACAAATACTCGAATTTCGGTGGTGCTATTTATTGAGTATTTTCCGAAGAATGTGGGCCGTCCCACATAGTGCGATTTCCTGGATGGTTTCTTCTTTTAGGTTCCTTAAAATCTTCTTTAAATTTCCTTTCATTGAATGTGGTGGCATGGCTCCCACTGCTCCCACGATGACCGGAATCGTTTCTGTTTTTGTTCCCAACATCCTGGCTATTTCAATTTCCAAATTTCTATATTTCAGCCTTTTGTCTGCTTCTTTGGCTGTCTGGTGTTTTTTTCTGCCGGCACGGATACCTCAATTAACTTACACCATTTTTCCGCATTATGCCTGAGGATAATATCCGGTTTGTTAGCTGGCACAGTTCTGCCAGTGTGGATTTGTTGATCATACAGAACTGTGCATGGACCTACTGTCGTAACCGGGCTTGGAATGTAGTTGTACCACTCCTTGGGTAATCCATCCATTCCATATTCTCGGCATATACTCCAATGGAGATATTGACATAATTTCTTCTGAGATTGGGCTTTGCTATCATAAGTTGCAAGTTGCCCTTCTTCCATTATCTCGTTTTCTTTGCCCTTTTCAGTACTCCTTTTTTTGTAATTTTTTCTTCCGTATGTATAACTTGGGCTAAGATGGGTCCTCTTGATGGGATTCTATGTATTTTCCCATTCCAATTATGGCATTCTGGTATGCCGCTTCTATTTGTCGTAATCCTCTTCCTCCATCTTTCCTGCTGACGTACAATCTATCCACATCAGCTTTTGGATGTAATGCACCATTCATAGTTAATATTTGCCTTGTTCTTCGGTCCAGGTGCGTAATTTCTTCTTTTGTCCAGTCGACGAGGCCAAAACTGTATTCTATTACTGGAACTGCTAATGTTCCGATGGCGTTTAACTTATTTCTTCCATTCAGTTTCGACTGTAATATAAGCCATCAATATATAATAATCATATTTAAGCTGTAATATAATAATCAATCTTTTAAAATATTCCTTCTTTAATGTTTCCTAATTTTAATGTTGGCTACCCCAAAATTTTCTTCAATCCCCAAATATTTGTATGTTGATCCAGAGTCCAATTCTTTAACAAGTTCTTCTTCGGAATCTTCTATATTTTCCTTCCGTTTTAACTTTCCTCTGACAATATTAACTCTGGCACATTTTTCCAAACCAAATTTCATGTTGATGTCAGAGGAAAAAGTTTGAACCGTCCTTAGCATTTTATTTAACTCCTCTTAATTTTTTGCATAAATTTTTAAGTCATCCATATACAGCATATGGGTGATTTTCCTGCCTCCTGGTACCAACTCATATCCTTGATTCTTGATATTAATCTGTCTGGACAGAGGAATTAGAGACATGCAGAATAAAAGTGGCGACAGTGAATCTCCCTGAAAAATTCCTCTTGTTATAAATATTTTCCTAGAATTATTATTATTATTATTATTATAACGAAATACAAAATGGCGGAATTATTTTAATAATAATAATAAGTAAAAACCGGTCAAAAATCTTTCAAACGTGCTCTTCTTTCATTCCATTATTTTTTTTTTTTTTTTGTTATTCATGTTCGTGGCATTGAAAAAAAAGAGAGATAGAGAGAGATGCGGCCGTGATTAAAATTTTCCAGAATGTTCGAGAGATGATCAAGTTACTCACAAACATCGTGAACATGATCACGTGAATTATTATTATTATTATTATTATTATTATTATTATTATTATTATTAAAACCAATCATTCGTGCACATGATTTTTAAACCCTCCGGCTTTATAAATTTCTTGATGGTTCACTCGGCTACAAAAAAAAAAAATTTTTTTATTTTTTATTCTGTGGTCAGACAATAAAAATAAAAATAAAAATACGACACAGAGAGAGAGAGAGAGAGAGAGAGAGAGAGAGAGAGAGAGAGGGAAAGGGAAAGGGAATAAGAGAGATAAAAAAAAAAATTATCATGATGTTAAA